CTGAACAACAATGCCAACGGAATACAGACATTCAGTTTTCTGGATTTGGCACAGGAAGAAATCAAACTACTTCAGCTCCACCGACTACTGCTAACCCATTTCACAGCTTCTTGAACTTTATCTCAGGGGTTTCTCTCAAGTGCCAACGGCTGGTGCAGGCTTCCCGTCTTTTCCTCAAGTGCCAAGTGGAGGCTTCCAATTTCCTCAATATGGTTATCCTTATTACCCATACTACGGTGGATATGGTTACTACCCCTATTCCTATTACTATTATTATTATGGATAATTGTTTTACTTCCTCCAAATGTCTTTGTATCACTGTGCAGACTTTAAAGTTCCAAAATTTATGCAAAACTTTGTTCGATGTTTTGTTCTATAACAAGTTATTAAACAGATTGTGAATTGAATCAGTGTTAAAAGTATATCGAAAATCTGTGCTGCACAATTATCGCCACCAAAGTCATCCGCAACTCTGTTATAGTTTGTAGTAACTATACTGATCAATAGCTCATAGACTAAAACTAGGTGCCAAAAATAAATGAATACAGTAGTTACTGGACAATTTTGGTCTAATCACTCATTGAATGATTTAAATATTGCAGTGATCAAGTAATTAAAAAGCAACAGTTTCTTTGAACTACAATATTCCTTAATTTGCATTTCTATAGTTCCTTAAGATTTAGTACCAAAAATGATAAATCTTTAAGAGCGTGCATGTTAAAAGCCTTTTAGAAGCAATCAATAAATGGTAAAATAAGTCGTTGGTAGGAAGATTAGAAGGATGCACTGATTCTAGATGTTCTTGTTTCTAGAAAAAAATTGAAGTAAAAAAGAAAAACATTTTAAAGCAAATGGAATGAATTCTAATCTTTTCAACAACCACTCATTTGTTGAACTTTTACTACTTGGACATCATACGAAGGATGGCCTGGTTCCATCCATAATTACTCACACTTAAATCAGTAAGCAGTTTCGTTGATCATTTTGACTTTACGGTTAGAGTTTTGAGTGTTAGACTAATAGTGCTCTGCCATTTCAGAATTCTGGTCATTATTAAAAGTCATAATTAAAAGAGAACGTGTGACAAGACGGAAGAGAAAGAATAAGTTTGCCATAATTATGACTTTGTCGTACTTTTTTTAAGAAAATAAGTTAGTTTTTAAAGAAAATGTTTTTTCCTATCTTTTACTTTTCCTTATCATCAAATGTGCGGCATCATCAAAAAGATATAAAATACGCTGAACAATTGTAATATTTTCTTCCGCGATTTGCGCTTCATCATGATGATTATTTGTGTAGCACTTGTTCTGC